CTTTTGTGCATTTTTTTTCTTCGTAAAAAATGTCGGAAAAAAATGTTTTGAATTAAATTCAAGTCAAACACGATATAATAGAATTTTTTAAAATTAAAATGAATATTTCAAATAAAATATTGTTTCGAAAGTTTTTCTCAAAATAATTATATTGATACAAAAGTTCTAATAGAAGTTAAGATTTTATATAAAATGAAAATATTGAAGGTTGAACCTATATCCACTAGCATGACATATCCAGTCGGGTAAGCTGATCAGTATGTAAACTGAAGGTGTAGAGATTAATACTCTATGTGTTCATTTCTTTTATGTTTTCTTTACATCATCCTGCAAACATCCTGCCAAGAAACATAATAACATTCTGATTGAAATCTTGATAAATCTTGACAAGATCTGGCCAGGAAATATGATAGCATACTGAATAAAACCTACTAAGATTCTGGAAGATGTAAACAGAATTTTTTCATTGGGAACCCTTAAAATCTTGACATACGTGAAGTTAGCCTCATATTCAAGTAAATCCAGCCGATATTCGTCCAGGAGTCTGCTTCAGCTGCTTCAGACACCTACAGAATAGAACTCGACAAGCTCTATCGATTGTTAACCTTGGATTTTCCATAGCTCAAACCATTCCTAAGAAAATCCCAAAATACTCATTTTTCACCATGTGAATCTTAGAGTCAATGTTTCTAATTGGAACAGTTTTTTCGTAGCTCTGAAAAAAAGCTGCATTACATAGATTTCTCGTAAACTTTTTAAAGATTTGTTTTATATAATTAAGAGCGACATTGTCTCCTACATCGAACTATGTTAAAATCATCAATCCATCTTCAAAAATAGCTGAGTAATTACCGGTAATTTGAAGAGTACTGCATCTGTTCTAAATAAGAGTATTTTTCCTTATTACAACAGCAAGCAAAAAGTGTCCCTAATTAGAACACCAAGCGAAGAACAAGAAAAAAATGTTAAAATTTGACAAATCAATTGATTTCATAGTCTCAACTTCAAAATTTTTATTTGCTCCTGGAATAAAAAATGTTCCTCCTTCAATGAACAATGTCCGTCTCCAGGTTTGCCTCTATATCATTTTTAATAACTGAGATATGAAGAGATCTTTAAGAACGTTGATTGTTCTAAATAAGTACACTGTATTTTATTAGAACAGCAAGCGAAAAAGTGTGCCTAATTAGAAGAGGTAATGTAAAATACATAGAGATCTCGCTAAAATAAGTAAATGAACCTATTCTACTATCCTAACATTGGAATTTGACCTTGGTTCCGTTACCAAATATGTTAGTCCTATTACAGAGTATCATCTGGTAGGAGTATACAACAAACGAAACTATAGTTTAGTTTTTAATAGGAATATTAAAATCATATTCACCGGTACATGCATTAGTATGATATAATGTTAAGATTTCATATGATTTTTACTTTGATGGAACCAAAAACAACATTCATAAATTTAAATAATGAAAATAACAATATATCACATATCAAAATATTGCACAAAGTGGTAAGGAAGGTTAGAGGCTGATCCGATCTTTCTCCTCGAACGATTCACTTGATCCAATCTGATAAATATGAACTATTGTGTGTTGCATAGAGCTTGAAAAACTCTATCGTATAATATATTTATATTCTAAGACTAAAACAATTACTTAATACGAATGGGTACATTAATTTTGATTATAGTGGAAAATAAAAACGTGAAATATTCGCTAAAAGTATTCAATTCATTATGTATGACTGTTTCGAAGTTTGTATGAATCGATGCAGTTCGATATGCTGTATCCCATGATCTATCTAACATCGTGGTCAATGAAACTATAAAGCATTATGACTTCTAAAAGATATAAAAACACGGTTCCATTGGCATTTCATGGAACAATTCATTCTACAATTAATACTACACGTGAAACCTAGTGTGAGGGACTCTGTGGAATGATACAAATTGTGTAAGTAGCACGGATCGAAACTCGAGTGTTTTTTAAGGGATACTTTATTTTTTCTGTTTTGACTATAAACTATAGTTTTTTATAAACGCTTTCGTGCTGCCACGAAAACTGAATCGCTTGTACTACTCCATAGAGCTACTAAAACTCTCTCTCGCAGACTCAATTACACGATGTATTCTAAAAAAACATTTGAATGAGGCACTGAGTTCATCAACGTCTTTGTGCAATGTTTCGATATGTTATATAGTTATTTTCATTATTTAAATTTATGAATGTTGTTTTTGGTTCCATCAAAGTAAAAATCATATGAAATTTTAATATTATATCATACTAATGCATGTACCGGTGAATATGATTTTAATATTCCTATTAAAAACTAAACTATAGTTTCGTTTGTTGTATACTCCTACCAGATGATACTCTGTAATAGGACTAACATTTTTGATAACGGAACCAAGGTCAAATTCCAATGTTAGGGTAGTAGAATAGGTTCATTTACTTATTTTAGCGAGATTTCTATGTATTTTACATTACCTCTTCTAATTAGGCGCACTTTTTCGCTTGCTGTTCTAATAAAATACAGTGTACTTATTTAGAACAGTCAAGATTCTTAAAGATCTCTTCATATCTCAGTTATTAAAAATGATATAGAGCCAAACCTGGAGATGGATATTCTTCATTGAAGGAAGAACATTTTGTATTCCAGGAGCAAATGAAAATTTTGAAGTTGAGACTATGAAATCAATTGATTTGTCAAATTTTAACATTTTTTTCTTGTTCTTCGCTTGGTGTTCTAATTATGGACACTTTTTGCTTGCTGTTGTAATAAGAAAAAATACTCTTATTTAGAACAGATGCAGTACTCTTCAAATTACCGGTAATTACTCAGCTATTTTTGAAGATGGATTGATAATTTTAACATAGTTCGATGTAGGAGACAATGCCGCTCTTAATTATATAAAAAAAATCTTTAAAAAGTTTACGAGAAATCTATGTAATGCAGCTTTTTTTCAGAGCTATGAAAAAACTGTTCCAATTAGGAACATTGACTCTAAGATTCACATGGTGAAAAATGAGTATTTTGGGATTTTCTTAGGAATGGTTTGAGCTATGGAAAATCCAAGGTTATCAATCGATAGAGCTTGTCGAGTTCTATTCTGGAGGTGCCTGAAGCAGCTTCCTGGACGAATATCGGCTGATTTGAGTAACCATATGGTAAGATTCACATAGTGAAAAATGAGTATTTTGGGATTTTCTCACGAATGGTTTGAGCTATGGAGAATCCAAGATTACCAATCGATAGAGCTCGTCGAATTCTATATTGGAGCAGCTGAAGCAGCTTCCTGGACGAATATGGACTGGATTTACTCGAATATGAGGCTAACTTTACCTACGTAAAATGCTGGCAAGATCCTTCTGAGAACCTGTTTGAATCCTGAGGAAATGTAGAAGATTTCTTTGTTACGCGCCTCTTTCAGGATTTAGGGTTTCCTGACCAATTTCCTTATTTTAAATTTACTGGTAAACTATTCAGGATTTTGCTTAAATCCTGTTCGTAATCCTGCCAGAATCTTGAAATTTCACGGCTACACGCTTCTTTCAGGATTTATTGATTTCCTGAAAGGATCCTAGTGCAAAAGTAGTGATAAATCTTGAAGTATTATAGCTGAATCTTGTCTGGATCCTGTCGGGATCTTCAAATTTCACGGCTACACGCTTCGTTCAGGATTTTATCATTTTCTCGGGAAAAAACAGCGAATCCTTGCAGGATTCTTGACAGATCTGTGAAGGGTCTAGAAAGGAAACATCAAAGATTTTCTTTAGGATTCCGTGAATATTCACTATAAAAAATACAACAGATAGCATGCCCTTTAACCGTTTTTGAATCATATAAACGTTTTGATAAACTTTTTCATGACGGGTATTTTCATTTCCTGAACCGTTTTTTTTCACCATTTTAAGGATTGATAAAAGGGTTTAGCACATTCTGATAAATGGTAGAAAACCGTATATTATCTGTTGCATTTTTATAAGCGTTTTAAAGGTTTATCATTCTACGCTTCTTTTTCAGCGTACTCTCTATTAAAAAATCACCAAATACTATTCGAATCAACTAAAAGGCGCATTTTTAAACAAAACTCAACAAAGATTCTTTCAAAAAATTGTTTCTAGACGTCTTACCACGACGAAAATCTGCAGAAAATACTGAGGACATTAATCAGTCTTGATTTGGGAAAAAGAGACTCACAATTTGTCAGCAAGGGAAGCCACAAAAGAACCGACAAGTAATGACGATCCATAATAGCCGATATAGAATAATTCAATCGCTGAGCGAGTAATTCCGTAACTTTCGTAGATTGCATATCGATAGGCACCTGGCAAATGATTAGCGGCTATTTTCAAGTACGATATGTTTGAGAACAGGTTAAGCTAGTTATATCATTTAACATAATTACCTGCTGCAAGAATATTCGCAATGAGATAATGAAGTTGTAGTCGTTTGAAAGCTACCAAAGATAGTGAATTTGCTTGATATGAAGTATAATCCTTGTCAATCGTCGCTGCACTCATCACTATCCTTTTGTAAAATATATATCTGTATGTGTTACGCTTCAAGAAGCTTTTCTTATTCACACTACTTGTTAGTGTTTTATGGCGGACAAAAAGAATAGATATGTGATAGTTTTTTTACCGATGCATTTTATTCGTTACGTCTGCGTAGACAATTACGATAGATATAAGAGAGAACAACCTAGGAAGCGAACAAAAACAGAAATAGAACCATTGACATGTTATTTTGAAGTCGTGATTGCTGGCATTCTTCGGAACAATTGTACACTGTTTAAAAAAAGAGTATAATAATCATTCTTCACATATTCAAGCTACAGATAAGCCGCATCACATTCTTTCTTTTCTTTCTATTCTTGTTTTTTTTTCTTTCTTTCCTTCTTTTTTTTTCTTTCAAGCACTCATTCAGTATGTACAAAGAAAAATATTCTGATTTATTATTATTTATCAATATTGTTGAATTAGTCATTTTAAATGACTTCTTCTTCAAATAATATTTTACAAAAATGTTCAACTGAAACCTCAGTGGTTTCGGTTCCAGTCTCAACGAATATAATTATTGATTCACCAACTATATCGATACAAAATGGACTTTCGTCCAATGTTTCACTTGATGGTTTCCAACAAGTAGAAAATAAAAATAAAAATAAAATCAAACGTAAACTGGTGACATCTACAATTAAGAAAAAACGTACACATTATCAAAATATTATTTCAAACCTTGTTGTACCTTCACCTATGCCTTCTATACCGGCCCCTATTACTGCTGAACCTCTTTTACATAAGGTAGTTCGACAAGTAGAAGGTATTCATCATCAACAAGGTATTCAACAAGTCCAAAATGTTCCTGCATTGCAAGATGTTCAACAAGTCTCAGGTGATCCACAAGTTCAAGGTGCTGTATCTTAATCTCATCTGCAACAGATTTCAATCACTACTGAATCTACTCGTTATGCACAAACACGTTACCCCTTTCCCCCCTTTATCATCAGATTCAATGCTGGTAAAGTTACATCGAACCAAATTAAAGAAGGTTTAACTGCTTGTTGTAACCAAAAATATCAAATGGAAACCAATATCTTAAACTGCCGTTTATCTAATAGAAGCTCCAGCAACGAATATGATTTTCTTCTTTTCTTAAAAGATGCTTCTTCTTTTTCTTTTCTATTAGATCAAAATCACGGACCTATTACCTTTAGTAATGAAAATTATACATTTCCATCGTTTCCTTCTATTCCACCACAATTATCATTGTTAGTCAAAAACGTGGATCTTCGATTAGATTTCAATGAATTTTGCCAGGAAATTAAAACACATTATCTACAAGTTAAAAATGTTATTAGATTAAAGAATAAATTGCAGAATGATATTAAATTAGTTAAACTTGAATTATCTTCTTCTACTTTACGTGAAGAATTATTAATTAAAAGAAAAATTACTGTTGGTTATATAGTCTATGATATTGATGAATATTTAGCACCTGCTAATATTTTAATCTGTTCTAAATGCATGGGTTTAGGTCACTTTATGAAACAATATACCCAGATCAAGAGTACTTGTTGTACGTACGGTGAATGTGCTGATGATTTAAAATTACATATTTGCTCTAACATTGAAAAATGTATTCATTGTGGACAAAACCACAAGTCAAACTCTCTTCGATGCCAAGTAGTAAAATCGTTTAGATCTGAATTAACACGTAAACTATTATCCTCCAATAATCGTTCATCCTCCTCCACCACCGACACCTTAAACAACATGAGAACTCAAACTTCAAATATTCAACTTCTGATTTTCCACCAATGCCTATACCTCAATTTTTACCAACTAAACCGAATAATACTATGTTAACTAAATTAGATGATTTACTGGGAAAAATCACAGAAGTAAATAATCATCTTTCAAATCTTGAATTAAAGTATAATAACTTTGAGCAATTCACGGCCGAAAAAAAAGAAAATGATTTACTTGTTAAAGAAAATCTAAATGTACTTTCTAAACAATCTGTTGAATTTAAAAAAGATTTGGTGCATCATAGTCTTTTAATTGAACGACATGAAAACCTATAGCTTCCCTATACGGTTATCCAAATCATCCTACCGCAACTCAAATTCCTCAACTCTACAGATATAAACTTCATTTTTCGGGTAATGAGGCGATCACTCCTTGCAATAACTTGAATAAATCGAAATGACTACATTTTACTTGAGTACTCTGGAGTATTATAACGTTTAGGTCTCGATACGAGGTGTAATGGTATTTTGACAACTATGCGTTTTATTCTTTCTTTGCTTAGTAACAAAACTGAATCACTTCATGATTCTTCACCATTAACTCTTAGGATGTCTATTTTACTGACAGATAATATTGCTACTGAGCTCGGTCTTGTCAATGGACTACAAGAAATATTTCGTCAAATTGTGTATGAAGAATTGGACACCACTTTTGTTCATATCAACACTAAATTTCCTAAAAGTAAACTCTCTATTTGATTATACATCCCGAAGTCATAGTAGCTAATAATACTCCGTGACTAGCACTGATATTAAACCAACTGTCATTAAAAGGTTTTGAAGTTTCAAGTGCAACTGCATTCGTTTGATTAGAGAGACAGTTTGTTTTCTGGAAGATTTTATGTTCTATTATCTATCTTTTTGTCATAATTAAAGTAAAAATAAAGTCTCTTGAATCAAGGGGGAAACAGCGGACTTCAAGGCTTCAAGACTTCAATAGACTTCAACGGACTTCAACCATAGTGACTTCATATTTTCACAAGACTTCAAAAGACTTCATAAGACTTCTAAATACTTCATAAGACTTCATATGACTTCAAAGGACTTCACAAGACTTCATAGGATTTCATGGGACTTCAAAGGACTTCAAAAAACTTCGTGAGACTTCACGGACTTCATGAGACTTCACGAATTTTGTGAGACTTCACAGACTTTGTTGGACTTCTTGAGACTTCATAAGACTTCATCAGACTTCATAAAACTTTACAAGACTTTGCCAGACTCCACAAAACTTCGTAAGACTCCACGAGACTTCATAAAACTTCACAAGACTGCATAAGACTTCATCAGACTTCATAAAACTTCACAAGACTTCGTCAGACTTCACAAAACTTCATAAGACTTCACAGGACTTCATAAAACTTCACAAGACTTCGCTAGACTTCACAAAACTTCATAGGACTTCACAAGACTTCAAGAGGCAGATTCTATGAGCATCAAAAAACCTTATAGAAATTACATGAAACTTCTATAACATGCAAAAAACAAAACTTATCATATAGAGATTATAAAAGTGTTTCTTGTTTCGGAGAATTGTTTCTCGAAGTATATCTATATCTAGAATAAAGATGTGACAATGACACAAAACGTTGATGAAATTAAAACTGAGACAATAAACTTTACTGGTACGCGTATAGTTGATTCGATTAATCCAGCATTGAAAAACTTCTACTTTCAGGTGCAAATAAATAACAAGACTAAATTTATACGCAAGCAAACGGCTGGTTGCTTATTGACCGACAGAGCTAGCCGTTCATCGGCTGATAGATTATCACGAGTGATAGAAACAAACAAAAAGGAATAAAATTCTTCATCAAATTGATATTTGATAGATGGAACATTTCGTATAAAAATAAACCACTTCATTCAAAAAGCATTCAGTTATTAACTATCATGTTTTCTAAGATCCAACAAAATTGAGTTTTTTTCCAGCACATTGAAAAAAAAATAGAAAGTTCCCCTTTCTGCTAAAATAAGACCGTCCAAAATAAGACAATTTCATTGGTTTCTTATGAATTTTCATGCACTAATTGTGTTTCAATACTTCCAGAAGAATTCATGAGGCTTCATGAGACTTCATAAAGCTTTCTGAGACTTCATAAAGCTTTCTGAGACTCCAGGAGACTTTATGAGAATTCATTAGACTTCAAGAGACTTCAAGAGACTTCATGAGACTTCATTAGACTTCATGAGACTTCATAAAACTTTATGAGACTTCAGAGACTTCAAGAGACATTATGAGAATTCATGAGAATTCATAAGACTTCAAAGAGACTTCAGAAGACTTCGAAAGACTTCGAAAGACTTTCAAGACTACATGAGACTTCACGGCTGAAGTCTCTGCTGTTTCCCCCTTGTAACAAGGTAACAATCAGTATTCTACACCATCTTTCCATACTTTCAGGACTGAGCCGAGTGAGGCTCATGGGGCCGAAGCGTTACTTGTTCATATTACGGTATAAATTATTCGCTGGACTGTAAGAATATGGTCCAGAAACTTGAATTAAAATCAAAATCCTCAATATCTAGATCAGTAATGTCTGTGTTCAGATCCTTGAGAAAGATTTTCTAGGTATTTGCGCCCATTTTCTGAGATATTTCGATGTTATGTTCAACTGACTTTGTCCTACTTTGTATATAGTTTCGATAGACTTCTGACACTTCTTTCCGAAATAGTCTGATCTTTAAAATCTTGCTTGCTTTTTTTATTGATCTTGAAGGTTCCACAATGTCCCAGCTGGGCAATCAGCTGGTAGTTTTCAAAATGCTATAATCCGTCGTCCGGAGGCCATCAATAAAAACGAACAATTTCGCGTCTGGAGTATACTTGCAAGTATGTATCGGCAAAATTTCATCATAATCAGACTAAGTTAAAGGACAGTGATAAGCAAACCAGACTGACAGAACCCAATTTGTGCACTGAGCAGATTACAAGAAACGTACTTCATCACGATTATCTCTCTGTGAAAGACTTTTAAAAAAATCGATCACTCGCGATTAGTAAGTTGATTTTGATCGAATTAAGTTTCTCGACGTAGAAAACATTTGAGATTATTATCCCTTATAACCATTTCAAAATCGACTTTTTAATCTAAAAACGATCAGCGAGTATTCTTAAAAGGTACACTCTAGCAACTATTACAATATAATATGCTCAACTAACTAATAAGAATATGTCTTATGATGATGTTGTGCATACTGTCAATCTAGAGTTAAGTGAATTGGTAGCCAATGAACTTTATTTGTTAATTATGGTTCATCTCTTTTAGTACCATTTCTGTCCAGTGTCCTGAGGTATTGCTTGTTACCGTTTCGAAAAGATTCTGCTGTATTTCCTTCCGCTCTATTTCCGACAGCTCGAGGGCCTTCTTGATCAGACGGGCTAACTCATCGCAATCCACTGGGTTAAACTGCATTGGTGTCTGTAATATTGACGAACATCCTGCAAATTTGCTGAGGAGTAATACACCACTAAGATCATGTTGCGCTACGATGTATTCGAACGCCACAAGATTTAAACCGTCTACCAGTGAAGATATAATACAAATATCAGCCATTCGATAGAGTGCTATCAAGTAGTTGAAATCCACAGATTCATGTCGATATTCAACGACTCGACCGTGCCTGTCATTTAGCGAGGCACATAAAGACGCGATTCGCAGCTCATAGTTTTTGTACGCCGAAATGTTTTCTCGACTTGGCACAGCAATCTGTTCAAAAATCACCTTTTGTCCACCATTCTTTAGAAACAGATCGTAACCTTTAAATTTCAAATCAAGCCCTTTTATGTAATCAACTCGATCTACGCCGATGATTAACTTCTTGCCTTTGTATTTTTCGGCTATTTTTCTCATTTCATACTTGGTTTCATCAGAGTTTATCGCATCGAGAATCCTATTTGGTTGAATACCCAGCACTAAATTGCGTACTTTCACCATGTGTTCTTTGTGGTAGATTACATCATCAACTTTAGTGTCCAGAAGTTCGTGGCACGTGTCGATAAACTTTGATTTATACTTAGCTAGATGAAAACCAACCATATCGGCTCGTAGAAGAGACTCACAGATTTGTTTTGATTGAGGAATCATTTGAAAGATTTCTGAATATGGCCAAGGTGTATGCAAGAAAAACGCGATTTTTATCGATTTCATACTTTTCTCTCTAAGAAGTTCCGGTACAAGCATTAAGTGATAATCATGCACCAAAACCAAATCGTCTTCTTCGATAGTTTCTAATACTTTTTTTGCAAACAATTCATTTGCCCTGATGTAGGCATCGAAATAGCTCTGTTGATAGTCGCACTCAGAAACGAAGTTGTGCAGAAGTGGCCATAATGTTTCGTTTGAATATTTCACATAGTAGAGATCAGCAAGCTCTTCATTCATAAAAACCGGTAGACAACCGAATTTTTCCTTCAGTTCTTCTTCCAATTGTTTTTCCGCTGATTTGTTCACTTCTAAGCCCGCCCATCCAATCCATAAAAAATCGACCGTTTCTTTCATACTTTCCAGAGCGCTTTTGACGCCTCCATTAGTCGCTCTATACGTGTAACCATCATCAACTTTCACGATGGTGACTGGCAGCCGATTTGAAACGTTGATTATTTTGCCCATGCGGCACTTTCCTCTACAAATATACCAAGAATCATGGTATAGAATATAATCGATCTTCTCTGAATGAACTTTATAGCTAGCGATTTCAAAATGTTTATCATCAAATAATATTACTCGTGACAGTCTCTCTTTAGGGTGTCGGTGTGAATGCATATGCCTCTGGATGTCGGTGTGTACAAGAAAAGTCTCACCCACATCCACAACCTAACCCTATACCTCTACTCACACCCCACACCCACACGAACATACCCACACCCCACCCCGATGATGTAGGTCTCTCCATCTGTAATGCCAAGCACCACTGACTCTTGTGTTGTTTCTTCTTTATTGGACGATCATGTCGATCTCTTCAACTGGAATACCTAGCATCACTGATTCTTGTGATATATACATCGCTGACTCCTGCGATGTTTCTTCTTTAGTACACGATGATGTAGATCTCTTCACCTGGAATGTCGAGCATCACTGACTCTTGCGATGTTTCTTCTTTATTAGACGATAATGTAGATCTCTTCAACTAGAATTCCTAGCATCACTGATTCTTGTGATGCATACATCGCTGACTCTAGCAATGTTTCTTCTTTATTGGATGATGATGCAAATTCCTTGAGCTGCGATGCCGGGCATCTGTGGTGTTTAGTAGTTGTTTTGCACGTTGGATGC